ACTTGAATTTTTGAGCCTTGCACATCAGGCCACTTGTGTTAGACACCCTAACTGATGAAACAAAGTTTTGAAATGTCTATACTTGCATTCATATATTCTCAAGATACAGTTTTTGCAAAATTTTCTCTGCCCTTTATGTAAAATGGGATCGAGGAAGTTGTAGAATTTTCTGAAGAGTGACAAACTCAACCATGTTATCATGAACCTGAGCAAATTACACATTTTTACTCTCCATGTCATAGCTGAAGAATGCTTAGCTTGCAAGGTATTTTAAACTATGAGTTTGTGCAATTAAATATGCCATTTTACTTGATATTATTACATGGGAAAAAATTAAGCTGCCAACATTCTAATATAATACTGTGATGATACAAGAATTTTCCAGTGTTCTGAAACACACTGGAAACACTCCACAAGAAGTGTTTGTTGCTAGGTTTATCAGTCAATGTGCTTCTCCTGTGCTCATTTTGTTCTAAGGGTTCAGATAGCAATAATGCCTTACCTTTTAGAAAAGTACTGATGCTAAGATGCCTTTTCAGCCTTCTTTCTTAGCTTTCTCAGTTTTGTTAAACATATGCTTTCACAGGTTAGCATCACTTATCCTGCACAGGTCAAAACCAGGCATAAATTCCCCAAGATACAAATGTGAGAAACATAGATAATTGTTGGCAGTAGCAACTGAAGAAAGGAAGAATTAGTTTACCATCTTTATTTTAGAAACTGCTCATATTTGAAAACCAGAGCTTCAGAAAAATATCCTAGAGTTACCATTCTCAAACCAATTAAAACAACACATTTTCAGCTGTGAACAATGTAACTGTTGCAAGAACCTACTGAATACCTCCCCACCTTCTACTGGCAAAAAGAAAGAGAACTTTTTAAACTTCCCAATGGATACAGTTCTTTCACCATTTGATTTCCAAGCATTCAATCTTAAAACAATGTTAGAAGGAAATTGTTCAGTTCCAGTTTGGCTTACACGCAGAAGAACAAAACCTATAACTATGCTTGTCCTCCAGTCCTCACACGCATACAATTGGTTCTTCCTGACCAACAAAAACCAAACTTAGAGAACAACATGGGGAGTGGGGAACATTCAAGCCTGCGCATGGTCCTCCAGATGTTGTTTAACTGTCACGCCCATTAGCACTAGCCATCATAGCCAATTGTGTCAGATAACAAAAATTACAGTCCAACAATTAGAAGGCCACAAGTTGCCCGCTCCTGCTCTAACACTAAACCATGGTTTGGCTTTACATGTAAACCAACCCACTGTTTGTTACTTTTCAGCAATTCTGTTTAGATTTTTATTATTACCCCAACATACCAAAACACATCCACACATGGAAATAAGATTTCCTTAGCAGACTTTTTTGTCAGATGAGGATTTGTTCATACACCAAGGTACTGCATGTTCAGATTGTTTTGAATATCCACATCCACTAATCAGGAGTACTGTTTACACAGCACCCACACAAAAGCAACACAAAATTGATGCAGGCACACAGCCTACATATGCATTTCCTTTCAGCACTGTACACTTGAGGTGAGGCTTTCTATTTGCCCCGTAATGAAATAAGATTTTTCATTTCTATCCACTATCTGGGGCCACACTTAAGTTATCACCCACATTGCCCAACAAATGGTCCAAGGACACATGATATGCCTAAAGCCAACCAAGCTGGCCCTGAATAGGAGACTACCCAGGAACCATACGTACAACACTCTTCTCAGGACAGGCAACTTCTGAAAAGCATAAGCAAAATAATAAACAGAATTGCTAGAGGATTTTTTTCCCTACAGTGCTTGCCTACATATTTAACGCAAAAGTACAATTCATTGTGTTCCATAGGGGTTGCTTCCAAGTAAGTTGATACAGTTGTAATCTTAAAATTTCTTCAGAAATTGCCTTTGCAGAACATACCTATTTTCCCTTAGAAAATAAGAGAATGAATAGGGAAAGATCAAAACCACCTACAACAGTACTTATTGGGGGAAGTAAACTTCACATCTTTCACTAGGAAAAGGAAAAGTCAAGTATATTTGTAGGATTTAATTTTCTCTGAACATTTATGAAATGAAAAGCTATTCCTACTGCTCTTCAACTCTGTCTGCATTTCATTATAACAATAAATGAAACATGTATGAATGTTTAACAGTAGCAGAGAAAACATACACTAGGGACCTGATCAAACACCAGCCAGTTGGCAATTAGTTTTTGCTCACACCCTAGCCTAGCAATCCTCCTTAGAGGTTTGTGCCCCGATTAGTTACCTAAGTACTCATTATGTGTAAATGCATCTAATGAAGACCTGATTCTCTCTTTCTGTAAGGCAAAGCTGCTTTGGAAGGAGACAGTGTTTCAAGCAGGAAACAAACCCTTTCCCATACCAACTATATTTCCTCTTGAAGTCACCCCGAGCCAGAAATAAGCAGTTTCAGAATACAGGGTTCCAGAAATAAATGTGTTTGTGTGAACTTCTCAGTGGAACTGTGCAGTAGTAAAGGGAACATGGAAAAGGCAGTATGAAGCAGGAGGATGGTCAGAAGAGAAGGGGATAAGCATCCATTTGCTTCTCAACTCAGAAATGAAGGTGCATTTTATTAGGTGATGCACACTTCAAGGCTTTGTTGCAGGTCTTTGTGTGTAACATGCAGATGTTCTGAAAGTTACAAGGTTAATCGCTTTATTATATTATTACTGAGTGCATCTGACAGTACTTTCTGACAGTTATGTATATTCACAGAAATACTTTCTGAAGAAACAGGATTGCCTCTGCAATCTCAACAGCTGCAGCAGCATTACTGGTGTGAACTTTACAGAATAACTGCTTTGGTTCCGGGAAAAATAGAGCTACATAAACAACACAGGCGATGTCTTTTATGCAAACAGAATTTCAAGAGCTAAACAACAGGGGTGGGCAAATAGAAGGCAATCCATGTGCTTAATAGTACCCAGAACCAGCTATAAGATATACATGATCCTTGTAATAACATGTTGTTTCCACACCCCAGATACTACAAAACTGGGAGAAAGCATACACTCCATGAATTCCTCTATTTTCCTCAATGGAAACAATAACATAAAGTCAGTGAAGAGCTGGAGGCACTGTTATCTCTGCCGAGTGATTTAGTCCAGCTGTGGGACCTGATTAGCCAGCTGAGTGGAGGACACTGCTGAGGTCCAACTTTCCTGTAGCTTTAGCAGGCTGCTATTTGAGATGACCCCACCTAGCCAAGCCAGACCTAATGGCTGCTTCCTCAGTTTAATGGCTTACTATTATTTGTTCTCTGCTGCCTCTCTTTTTCTGCTTTGTGGTTTGCTCCTTCAATGGGTTTACTCCATATTGAAAAGACTATTTCACCTCTTTACAGCAGGCTGCTTTTCCATGAGTGAAACCTAAGTAAAAACATGAAGTGACAAAAAACCCTAACAGGAGATAATTAAATGAATTTATTAATGTGGCAAGATATAATCTGCAATCTCCTGACTCACAGTTCACGCTTGTTTCACTATCCATGTGTCTACATGACCTCATGTGACAAAAGCTAGTACATCATAGTACCTGAGAGACTGAGAAGGAAGCTTGGGAATCTCTAGTTCAGATTTTACCACATCTCCTATTTGCTGTTCCAACTGTGGTACTTTAATATTCTGAGTAATGACTTAAGTGGACATAACATAGGAAGGTTTTCTTTCCATACTGGAAATTAAGACATATAGACTACAAATTATGCTTATATGTTGAACTGGCTTTGCAAAAGTGGCCATGGGGGGTATAACACATAATCTCTTTTTCAAAAGGACATTACAGTCTGCTTTGAGGAAGAGAGAACAAGATTAGCATGGATAGAAACAAATATCTGTATAGTCCTGGAGCATGGCTGCTCAAATCAGGATTCTTAATTATATGATGTTGGAAGAGTGAGGATCCTGGGCCCCTTGAGAGGGATTGTATTATAATAACAATGCATACAAACTCAAAAGATGAACATACTGTTAACACTTGGTCAAATGACAAACAGTGCTTCTTTCACTGAGGACAAATTCTTATACTTCTGATGGGTTATCACTTGTAAAATAAAAGGTGTTCCTTTCCCTACCCTTATCTAAATCTGTAACAAGCCAAAGCAGAAAATTTAAAGGCTGTCCCTAGCACAGCTTTCCCTAACCTGGATGCTAGGAGCTGTAGCCCAACCGATCTAGGGGGCAGCAGGTTAGGAAAGGTTCCCCTAGCATCTGATCTCAGAGTTGTACCTTAGCACCAGATATTGAAGCATCCATTATTAACATGGATGCCACAAAGTCAGTTTTTCCCATTTGGGATGCTCCCATTTGCTAGCCTTCTCCAAGCAGGTACCCTCCAGAAGTTTTGAACTTCAGCTATCACCAGCCAATGGGCAGGAATGCTGGAAACAGTAGTTCAAAGCATTTGGTGGGCATCCACTTGGGGGAAGGCCAGTACGGACACTTTGGAATGGCTATGTATGAAACATCAGTCTTTCATCAGCTGTTGGATTAGGAGTCAGAACAACTAGCATTCTTTTGTTGTAACATCTGGCAAGCATCAAGAATAGGAGGCACCTGGCAAATAAAACTTTACTCTGCCTAAAACACCTTCTTTTATGTGACACCACAAAACCAAGCTTCCCTACAATACTTGATGTGCCTGGGTAGGAGATACACTCATCCCAGCAGGGATCGTTTCTGCTATTGTGTGCATGCGGAATAGACTTCGGTATATCCCCCAGCCCAGCAAGACGGGTTCATCTTTAACTGATGGGTGACACAAAGTAATTCAACAAGTGGCGGTTCCCCCACATACACGACTCCACAAGTTGAGATCCTCCCTGTCATTCAGCTGTTTATAAGCTCCTGCACGAGAATCTGAAGGAGCAATCCGGAAGGGCGGAGCGGAGAGGGTTAATCAACCCGTTTCTTTGTTTTTCCTCCGAAAAGGCTACCGACGGGTTTTGCTCGCTTCCATGGCACCCCTTACCTGTTGTTGCGGACGCTGTTTAACACGCACAGCACAAGCTCCAAGTAGGTCCTCAGCAGCTCCAGCCAACGAGGACAGAGCGGCGCTTCTCCCTCCGCCGCCGCCGCCGCCGCGGCCGTCGCTTCTTCGCAGACCCCGCTGACGCCTCCTCCGCCGCCGCCGCCGCCGCCGCCGCCGCTGGGGTAGTTGTCGGCGGCGAACTGGACACGGAGCTCGCGCACGAACCAGCCGCACTTGCGCATGAGGAAGTCGAGGCGCGGGCGCTCGGCCGGGCAGACGCGCAAACTGAGGCGCAGCCGGGGCCACAGGGCCGGGTAGAAGAGGCACTCGCGCCAGTGCGAGCAGGCGGCCGAGGCCCGCAGCCGGTCCGGGGCCGCCAGGAACGAGAAGATGTGAACCACCAGCTCGCTGGGCAGGGAGCCGGCGCCCACCGACCCCCCGCACACCGACGACATCGCCGGCCCAGCCGCCGGCGGCCGCAGCCCCGGCCCCGGCCCCGGCCCCGGCCTCCCCTCCGGCTCCTGCGACAAAAACAACAACATCAATGACAAGGCGGAGGGAGGCGGGGCGGGACCGGACGGGACTCTGCTGCTGCCGGAGCCAACCAGCGCTCCCAGCCGCAGGGGGAGAGTGAGACGTACCATTGGGCTCCGGGGTGGGTGAGGGACGGGATGGGGTGGAGCACACCAACGACCGCGCCAGAAAGGAAAAGAAGAAAGCCGTGCTAGCAGAGCGTACCAACACGTGCTCTATCGGCGGGGGTGGAGGGCACGGCTGCTTTTTATGATTCAGCATTCAGAAGAAGGGGGAGGAGGGTCACCTCGACATTTTCTAATAGGGGCATATAATCTCCTCGCAAGGTCGGCGATGGGTGGATCAGTGGAAGACTTAACTTTGCTGCCTAGTAGCGCCTTCATCCGCCGCAAACAGGGAAGATGGCCCGTAAGCACTATCTTTCAGTAGCAAATTGAGAATGGGAATAGGCACCAGAACCTGGTGAACGCACCCAGGATTATTCCCATATAAATGCCGTTAACTCGCCATTTGGATTTGAGAGGCCGGGAGCTAGTACTTGCCTTGTCATCTTCCAGTTGCTTTACAGATAAAATTAAGATGAAAATAACGATTCACGGAGAGTCGGGGCTGGGAGGAGGCGGGGTAGTGGGTCCACTTGCTCTTGGCCCCAGAAAACAATGGATGTCTTGCTTCTGCCTAGCGCATTGATCACCACAGCATCGGTCTTCGTAGGGAAAGCGGCAGGGCTCCCAAAATCCCACCTACCTCTAGGCCTGATAAACTAGCTTTCCCCAACTTGGTGCTCTCTATGGTTGGACTACAAATTTCCCAGCCAACATGGGCCAGTCAGGTTGGGAAAGCCTCTCTTAAATCATCTAGGCAGGCATGTCGTGGACAGTATATTATAGACATACAGGAAAAGGTTTTGAAGGTGAACAATTGTAATTAATTTGTTTTGCTGCTTCTAAATCTGATTTTCTCTCTCACCTAGAGGCTGGAATAGAAGAGTGGATAATGTAGTGTGTTCCTTCTCAGAGTTGGAAGGAGCCAAGCATTATGTAGCCCCTCAACCCCTTATTAAAGAGCAGGATCATTTACGAGCCAGCTTCCCAGAAAATCACATACTACATCACATAACACCAGAATCCTGGAGAGAACACACACAAGTTCCCAATATTCTGTCATGAGGCAACTTTCCAGACAAGGCTTCACATTTTACAGGGGGCTCTAAATGACATTATTGCCCCCTGATCACATTCACACATTTCTCATCAATTCTTCCATCTTTTTTTTCCCACCATGGAAAATGCACTAAGGATGAAAACAGAATAGCTGCATAATGCCTTCTGAGGATTAGCACCAGAACCTCCATCTGGAAGCATGCTAAAGCCAGTGGAAGAGCCAGGCTGGCACAATGTTTAGACTGTTGGACTGGAATTCAGGCAATCTGAGTTGTAGTCTTCACTCAGCCATGGAGCTCACTAAATGATTTCTAGCCAGTCACTGACTCTCAGCCTAACTTGCCTTATAGGGCTGTCATAAGAATGAAATGGAGAAGAGGAGAATTCATAAGCAGCTTTGGATCCCTAGGCGGAAAAAATGGTGGCATATAAAAATAAATAAAGTACAATATGATGCATGCTTAAACAAGAAAGAGTTCTTTGCAACTTTCCATATTCCCCAGCCAGCATATGGGATTGAAAGGGCAGGGCTATGTAGGAGACACTGGAGTCAGGGAACCGGTTTAATCCCCAATTCCAGAAGTATTCTACAGGTTACTCCTTTGCTTTTTCCCTTATAACTGAATAGGTCCCATTCAAAAACAAAGTGTTGTATGCTTTGTTACATACAAAGGAGAGGAAAACCAGGTTGACATGGTGACAAGGTCTCTGTAATAGTGTGGAATGAAGCCCCTGCCTCCCCCCTCACACACTTACATTCTGCATTTATCATGATGATGGTGATTGTCTTCCTTGCTTGTGAAGGAATGCAATCTAAACACATATTCCTAAGCAGGTTCTTACAGTTACAGTTTGTGTCCTTTCAAATGTTGAATTCCTAAACAAATATATTTAAGCATAACTCCATTTCACTCACTGGGACATATTTCTGAGTAAATATGCTGTATTATATGTACTGAATACCTTTCAGTTTTAAATGAAATGCGGTTTCAAAAGACCATTGTTTTCAGAGTGTTGGTGCCACTACTCAGGGACAACTGACATCTGAGTTTACAAGTGGTGTGTTCACATCGGGTCACAATTTGCTTGTTGAGATGTTGTCACAATACATATGCAAAAGCAGGGAATCTTGCTAAAGTTGGGAATGAGGGTGGCAGTTTTTCTGATGTGTGCTCCTGGAATGAATCCCCACACCTGGTTCCCCACCCTCCTCCAAACTGTAGATGTAACATATTGTACGGACTCCATCTTTGTAGTCCCTTTCTGGGCTATCTACATGTTGCATGTATTTCCTGTATGTCTGAATAAACTGTAATTTATTGTACACCCCCAGTGTACCTACTCTCTCTGGTTTTCTTGTCACAGTAGACACTATATTTTAGCACAGGCTTTCGTACAATCTGTCATTCTGCAAGTGTGCAATATTCTCCCCTTTAACAGCCATTTTGGGCATGTGTCAGAATTATGTTATCATGCCTGGAAGAACAGTGCATTCTCTGTCTTGGAAGGGCTTTCTTGAGACAAATATTTGAGAACAACCTGATGCTTTCCAAGAATTGTATCCAATGCTGTCATCCTATTGATAAAAGTAAGTCTATCAGTAGGAACTGATGGGGGCAATTCCCTCCTCACCCAAAATTTCTAGGAGGTGTGGAAGGCTACATGGGGATGAGAAAGGGATAAAAATACATTTGTTAGCAGGAAGCTGAATTAAATCCCAGTTCTTTTCATGTTTTTCCCTTCAGGGTATGGAAGACTTATATCATCAGAAATACTAGGGACAGTTCTTTCTGTTAGAAAATAATTGATGACCTAAACTCCTTTTCATGATTAGACCCGAAGCAGCAACTAGTTCTTGCTAGTCACTTTGAGAATTCAAAGCCACCCTTTTTCCCACAGTGGACTACAAAGGACCCCCTACTGAAATTCCCTACTCTCTATAGCTTCAAGTTTGACATCTATGAGACTAGATGACTTCTCTCTCTAACCTACAATTCAGCCAGAGATCTCTAGTTGTTCCATTATGAGGACTATATTTTAGCTTCAATGTATATAATATACAGTACTGAAAACAGAGGCTGAGATGGCAACATTGATCACAGACCACATGAGAACATTCACAACTTCTAGCCTTCATACCTACTGACCTGCAACTGAATCCACTCATGTTTTCTTGGAGTAAAATACAACTGAATTCAGTAGGATTTGGTCCTAGGAAACAGACTAATCCTAAATTAAAATAAGCCATGCTTAACTATGCATAGGGTCAGGTTAAAGTGGCAGTAAGAGTGCAATCCTAACCAAGTTTAGACTAAAAAAGGCACTTCCAAGCATGGCTCAGCTTTAAGGTTGTTTATCTTAGCCAGCAACCCTAAACTCACTAAATTCTGAGTAAACATATATAGGATTACTCTGCATGCAAAAGAATTTGGATTTTATCTCAGTCTTTTAAGTGTGCATAACAGAGATCTGGCTGACCTTATCTGCAGTTACCTTTAAAATGGTTATAAAAACTCATGTTCTCACTAGCTTTTAATTGAATTTTTAACAATATTTAAAAATGTTGGCACATATTTTGAAATTTCATTTTATTGTAACTAGTATAATTTAAAAGATTATATTAAAATGATTTTAAGATGAATGTAATTTTATTATGTTTGTTGAATAATATTGTTCCTGGATTGTAAATTGCCTTGAAAGGCAGTTAAGATATGGATTAAGGGCATAATCCAATGAAGCTGCCCATAACCCTCTGAGATCTGAGGATTATGGGCATCCTATGCTGAGTGGGAGGAATGAGGAGGCTAGGCCTTGATTGGCTCACAGTGACATTTTAGAAAGAGAGGGAAGAAGGCTGAAGGCCACCATGATATACTTATCTCACTGGTGGTGAATGTCTCCTTACCTTCCAACCACTTGAATGCCCCTGAACCCATCACCATGGGCACTGTTATGATCTCAGAGAAGCAGCCAGTATTTCTTTCTGCCCTGGCTGCAAGGGAAAGAGGGACGGGGATTCAAGAGTTTCACATTTTATGAATTCTGACTCAGCTCTCAGCTACTTTTTCACTGAGTCATGGCAACCCTGAAGTCTGTTATTGAATAGCTAGCCTCGGCTATTGGGCGGTTTAAAAATGAGATAATGAGATAAATACTGTCCTCGCTTCTTCGGAAAATGAGGAGGTAGGACCGGGTATTATTCCAAAATTGCAACGATCCAACTCTGAAGTAAATGGATTGCGGACGTCAGCGATCTCACCTAACAAGTAGCTCCCCCTGCCTGTGCGCCACAGAACCCACCGTTTAAAAAAAAAAAAAAAAGGTAGGCGGAGCTTGAGCTGAAAGCCGGAAGTTACCCGTGGTAACTTCTAACATGGTACAAGCTAAGAACTGTACATGTCCGGTTCTAAATTGAAGCGGGGGGGGGGGGGGTGAACAAAAAGAATGTGAATAAGACACAGAGAGCTAGAACGGCTCTCTTTAGTATTATAGAAAGGTTACAGTCATAGATCTGTTGGTAGCAAGAACAAAACAGAGTCCTCAGGCTTGTGCCACAATATATTTCCTAGTTTTTATGATGCCTGAGAAACTCCTGTTTTCCATTTTGCCTTCTGATCCAGCCATGCATATTTGTATTCTGTCTCACAGCCAAAGATCTCAGAGTTTACAAAGGTGAAAAAAAAGTTGTATAATGTTGTAACATAATATAAAAACCATTTAAATACAACATACGAACATACACAGAGTGAACCGGAGAAAAAATCCCAGGACCCTTTAAAACCCTATCCTAGGCTGCAAGCGCCTTAGTAGCGCAATGGAGGTACTTAACCAGGAACCGGAAGTGAATAACACGCACTACTCTGCTCTAACTTTTCGACCTCTACGTCGTTTAAATTTGGCCCTCTGAACATAGAAGTTCTGAGTTTCTCGACGTGTTATCTCTTTTTTCCTCCCTCTCCAATTATCTTTATGGTTTGTCCTAGAAGGGAGCACGGAATTTCCGATGCTTGCGTGCGTCATATCCGGACGGCTTTGAGATGCCGGTAAGAAGCTCTTGTCCCGGGAAAGGGGGTGGTGGGAAGTGAAAGAGTTTCTTCTCCCCCCCGCTCGCGCTTTCCCCCCCTCAGACCGTGGAGGCAAAGGCGGAGCGAACGGCCTCGTCATGCTGGTCCCGTGGCGGACCCGTGTCCCCTCCTAGTTCTTGGGTCCGGTCCAGTCCTTAGGAGGAGCCCTTTCCACTCCTTTTGCGCTCTTCTTGCCGTGGGAGTGGCCTGGGTTGGTCTTGGCCTTGTTGTAGAGCGGTCGGCACGGGAGGGGGTCGCTGTCTCCCCCCTCCCGGCGCGCGTCCAGGCTTATTTTACCCGAATAAGGAGGCGGCTCGTCTGCTTCCTGGGGCCCGTGAGTGACTCCGGTGTGAGCGTCCTTAATGCTGGCCTGGTTTTCTAGCCGCTGAAGCGCCGTGAGGGATCGGACGGCCGCCTGGCTGATTGACACTCCACTCCTCAGTTTTGCTTCGGATTCTCCCCGACCTTTACTAACTCTTGCGCGTCTGTAAGCTGTTGTTTCGGCTATTAAAGTCTTAATGCTGCACCTAACTTTTGTAGATAAGAACTGAGGCTTATGTGTGCATTGGAAGTCTTCGGTGCTGATGTTTATGTCAATTTCATTACCACACATGGCGTTTTATATAAAAAGTCAGGCCCCCCTGGCCCCGAAGAGCTTATAGTATAGAAATGTTAACATTTAGACGAGGCAATACAAGGCGAGATGGACGAGGCAGTGAAAACAAAGGGCCATGGGCAAGTGTGGTTAGCAAGCCATAAAGACAGGAGGTTTGTTTCACTTCGGGAACTGAGGATGAAGGACTCTTCATGCAGGGTGGGCAGAAGAGCGAAGTAGCTGCACTGGTAAATCCCTGCATGATTTGTGGTAGATTGGCAAAAACTTTTCACCTGCAATTATTGCTCAGCAAAAGTTAGACCCTAAATACACCATGAATGGACCTCCCCAGAGGCTTTATCCAGTGGTAATGAAGTGGTTCCCATCAGATTCTGTTGACACTGCCTCCCCTTGCCCACAGTTACAGTCATTGAGCAGTTGACTCTATCATGTAGTGATGCTACTTTGGGTACTCCGCAGAATTAAAGTGTAGGACAGTAGAAATAAGGGAATGACTAGTTATCAGAGGAATGTATACTGCTGTCAGGAAAAGCCATAGTCAGTGGAGTGTACTGGTAAGTAAATTGGGGGTGATTAGTGGCAGTGGTGGCATCATTTACTAGTGTTATGTGTGTGGCTGGGTGGGGGAAGTAGCAGAAATAGGCTGAAACCTATATAGGCCTGTGGACTTAAAAGTTAAAAGGGAGAATGCAGATTGGTTTTGGTCCCAAAGGGAACTCTCAGGGTGGTTGTGTTGCAAATTATGCAGGAATACGTAAAGATACTGTGTACATTCTCTGTATATTTTTTATTATTCTGTACATCCCTACAGTAAACAATGAAAATACTTCCTGGGGCAAATCCCTTGCAAGGTTGGACTCTCTGCCAGGGAACTTAACATTATTTTGGCTAAAATTTAATAGATTAGAAGTGGGAGTGGTCTTTATTGCCAATAGGCATCAACCTATAATACAGTTATACATAGTATAGTTTGAGAATTGTCTTATAAATTACACATGAAAGCATGGATGGTGATATATTGGATGTATAATTTAATATTTGTTTAATTTTCTTTCTTTTTTTTCCTTTCTAGGTTAAACTCAGTAGTTCTCTATTGCGGCTTCTCCTAAAAAGATTCTCACAAAGTTTAGAGGCTGGAATATGTGTATAAACACAGAACATTGATAACTTTGAACTCTTCAGCTTGTGGCTTACTCAGTTCTACTCTGGAAATCGGAAGCTTGAATCGATGTTATCAGATGAGTTAGAGTCCAAACCAGAGGTCAGCAACCACTAGATAGATTTGCTTTCTGCCTCAATGATTATATTCTTCTGTATAGCTTGAAGTGCCTGTTCCTGTCTAATCTTGGAAGCTAAGTAGGATCAGGCCTGATTGAAATCTGGATGGGTCACTTAATGTTGTGAACTGCCAGAGAGCTTTAGCTATGGGCAGTATAGACATGTAATATAATAATAATCTGGAAAGCTACCATGATTTTGTTTTCAGTAGTTTACATTATAATTTACAGAAACTGAGTTCTCTGTTTTCATTAAAATCTCCCAAATTGCTCAACTAATTTTTACCCATAAGGTATTACTTAAAAGATCATCACCTGCAGGTGACTTAATAGTACATCTTTATTGCAAATAAACTCCACTGAAACA